ATATTTACCCAATATCATTTTTCTAATATCTAAACTACGACACAAATGCATTTACCCCTCTAGATGGCACAGGAACATTTTCCGGACAGAGCTCATATCGTTTTATCAGTTTGCAAGGATGAACTTTCTTCTTCCTTCATCCACTTCCTGCTTTTAAATATTTTACAAACGAAAAAAAGCAACGAAACGGCGTAAGCTGTGGACAATTTGTTCCTGTGTTTGTACATTTCTTAATTTCTTCTTTCACCATTTTTTCTGTTTTCATAAAAGCAATATTACCGGACATGAGTGCAAATATTTCGAGTGTAAATATGAAAACCGAGGGAGAGTAACCAATATGAAACTGGAATGTCGCAGCATAATAAATAAATGTCTGCTGAGAGTGATTCAAAAGGCAGTCAAAAGGGGGTGGTCAGTAATAAAAAAAATATAATAATAATATAAAAATGACTTAATAAAGCCATGTTAGCTTTTTTTTTAGGAATAAATCTAACGCACATTAACTTTTATTAACTTTCTCTGCCACATTTGCTTATTCAAATCATCTTTAAAGTTCCACTCTCCGGACAGTTCAGTTTGAGTTTTGAGTGTTGTTACATTAATACGAAGAAAACACAGTAAAAACCTCATTTTCAGCACAATTTTCACATTGCAACACAAATTAATTTCCTTTGAGATTTGACTTCTGGGCAACTTTATCGAGTGTCCTGTGAGTTGGTGAGCTGGCGTCCTTGCTGCAGTAACGTTTATGTATATTGTTCCCCAACTGCCCTCAACGGCGGCCCCCGAAAAACCAGAAAGGTCGCAAAAGTATGAAATGTCACTTTACAGTTAAAATGTCCAGAAAATTATCAACTTTAACATTTTGTTGCTTTTCTGGCTCGTCCTGCAGTGAGAGATAGGAAATATAGTTGCCCAGTTTACTTGCTTGGTTGGTTTTCCCTGCCACAGACGGCAACTTATAATGAAGTCCTCGAGGACGAGGCACTCCGAGAATCTCTCTCTCTCTCTCTCTCAGTTATTTTAATGCAATTATCTTACCAATTGCGAGTGGAAGAGTGCCTGGGCTTCAATGGCAAGAACTGCAAAATTTTTGAATATGTTTTTGCTTGGCAAAAAAATCCTGATAACAAGCTGTAAAAACTTTTAATTAGCCACGCAAGTTAATAACTTGCATACGCACCGTTGAACCATTAAGCATCGCATGTAACTCAATTGAAGAGGAATACTCAAAAACATATTCATTAACAAATTTTATTTACTGATGGTTTTATAAGAAACACATTAAGGCAACCTGAACCAGTTTAGAATTTTGTAGTCCCCTAATAAGAAAATGATATAGGAAAGATTCTTCATAATTGTTAAGTCTGTATTACTATTTTTTGCAAAGCTTTATAAAATAAGTATCCAACAAAACATATTTATAAAGTGACACAATATTTTCAAGAAGTTTGACTTACAAGCTTTTCCAATTCATTATTACAAGAGGACTTAAATATTTTATGATTTTAACAGAAGCCTTAAATTATCCAAAGACATACAGAGAGTATAAAGTGCTTCCTTATAGTTTGCCCTTAATGATATGCGTTACAACGTGTACTTTTGTTTATACCGGCAGTAGCCAAGAGGACTGTGTGTGTGCTCACATCCTCCATACCACATCCATGGCATAAAGACAATCTGAGCGGATCTTCCTGTTCCTGTTGGTGCAGTTTTGCTTCCAAGTATGAATCCTGTAAATATGCTACGTGTGCCAAACGAACACAGAAACAAAAGTTGCTCTTGCCTCCGGTGTTCCACCGACATAATCACATATATAAATATTATTTTTGTTATTCGTGTGTGTTTGGGTTTGTAAGCCTGTTTATGATTCTTGTAATTTAGGTTTTGTTGCGTTGTTTATAGCTTTTGTGGGTAATTATAAAAACTTGTATACCACCGTGGAAGGGAAATTTAAAATTTGCATTAAGCTATTTAAAAAGTATTTAAAATGTAGTTCCCATTAGTTTCCTTTTAGTTTAAATAAAATAAAATAATTTAGATATTATAAAAGTTACTGCTTAACATTCTGTAGGCGTCTTAAAAGCTTTCAATGTTAATTTGCAGAAGCGAAGCTTTTTATATATTTGGTAGGGATATATCGAAGGGAAGGAATACCCTACAAATTCTTTTGAAATTTTTGTATATTTTAGTTTTCTAATTAATGTATTTGAATAAATAAAAAAACATTTATTTTTGTACAATCTCAAAATATTATAAATTTTATTTAGTTTGCAGTTAAAAATGATTAAGACTTACAAGTAAAAAGAAATCGATAGCGCTGAAAGAAAAATCATTTGTGTATCGAACTTAAAAATAAATCCTAAAATTGCCTAAATGATCTTTTAAAGAAATACCAAAGATTTCACCAACGAGCAGAAGATCCCGCAGAGATCTCACCAATCTGACAGTTCTCGGCAGATCGTTGGCGTAAATTGGTTTGGTTCGGTTCCTCGCGCCAGCGACCGTGTGTGTTCAGATTTATTTTTAAGCTGCACGCAGAAAATACTTTTCTGTACGGGTGAAAAACACTTTTAATTTTCTCTAGTTTTCCCCAATTATTTTTGAATAATCACACCAAATATCAATCTAATTAAGTGAAAAACGTGTTTTAAAAAGGTTTATGTGTCGAAAAAAGAGCTTAAAGTGAAAGGAATATAAATGGAAAATATATATGTATAATGTGCGAGATAAATCTATAATATATATTGAGCTGGCACACTTTGAGCAGCTATATATATATGTATAAATATATAGGAAATGAGTAAATGCTTAACATGTTTATAATTCAACAGCGCCGCAAAGTAGTAACCATTCATTAAATTAACGCATAAAAACGGTGGGGATGTAGAAGAATACCCAGCCAAATCTAGAATATGTACTAAGCAAACGAGAAGCTATCTCCCAAAAAAGTTTAAAAATATCAACGCCACGTATGCTGCCTTTGGCTTTTTGGCTCGGATTTTCGGTACGCACGACTGCCCCTCAACAAATAAAAATCGCAGCGTGTTTTTATTGTTGCCACGCGAGGGAAACGCCGAGGGATCAGCATGTAAGTGAAATGTTCAACAAGCAGCCCCGCAATTAACTAGATCAAGTATATTATATATATATATATATATGCATCGATTTAGTAGTTTAAAAATAGCCTTTTTAAAGTGTTCCATGTTGCGATTTTAAGCATTAGCATTGCATATTTCAATAAGCCATTCAATTTGATTTAAGTAAAAGCCAATTCAATTAGGCTAAATTTAATTTCATTGCCTGCGGATGGCGATTGTTGTTTCTCTTTTAAATCTTGGGGGCTACAACAGAGGCAGCAGGAGCACTAACAACATTGCCGCATCGACAGATCCAACTACGTGTGCTTGATCTAATTTTAGACCGGCGAAATAGTCTTCTAGCCCAAAGAAAATGACCGACGAAATGCCGATCCTACACTATACCCATCCACCCCCTCAACCTCTTTACCTTCTTCACCTTCTGACGTTTTTCTGTTGTTTTAAAAAATATTTTCCCGCACATTTCTCATTGGACACGATGAAAACTAATTTCTGGTGGCTGCGGCATATTTCAGGTTTATAGTCAACAAAAAATAAAGCAATTGTGTAGAGAAGAAACATTGAAATGTTTTGACCATCGAAATGAACACCCGGGAAAAATAATTAAAACCAAAATAAAAAATTAATTTGGGTAGCATTCCATTCAGCACGATCAAATTATTATTAAGAAAGCATCTTAAGAATTTCAGGTCATTTAATGACTTTCAATTGTTTATAAAATCTAAATAATCACACACAAACTCATAAAAATAGCGGACAAAAATAAACAAATCATTAAATAGTGATCAGAGATTATGGGTGTTCTTTTTTATATAGACAGCTGGGTCTAAAATGGGTTAGAAAGCAGTACAAATTGGTTAGCTAACATTTTGTTTTTAAATTAAAAGACAACTTGTGAACATTTATTTCCATGGCATGCTCTACGAAGTCAACAAATCACCAAGCCACTTTCAGCCGGAAATATATCATTAGCCAAATTGTATAGCTCATCGAAGAACACACCCATGGGAAAACCAAAATTATATTATAAGTTTATGATATATGACCGAGCGTCAGAAAGTATTTCACGATGACTCAGGCAACCCAATGTGTAAGTGAAGTTCAGTCGCGACAGTGAAAATATTGCTGGGAAAATTCGGTATTTTCAATATTTCACATTCGCTCTTTTGAAAAATCTCTCAAGATTTCTGTGGCCTCTCGCCAACTGTCAAACATTTCCTTATGCGCATGCGTTCAACAACAACAGCTGTTTGACAACAAATGTGAGTGGAAGCGAGATAAAGATACTCAATATCGGAATACTCTCCCGATCTATTCTCAATAGTTGGTTTAGCTTCTGATAAGAATATCTGTAGCAAGAGAGCAAGCTGAGAACAATAAAAAATACAGAAAAACATAAAAATAGGTGAAGCATTAATGTTTGGTTCCCGTTTTCGTTCGACGGCACATTTACGTTCTGTTTTCGATTTGTTTGTAAACACAACGGTTTGACTTTTAGGGTTAAAGAATATCTGTGGGATTCCCCTCTTTGCGGGCGACTTATTTAATATTTATTTGTATAGGTCCGATGCCTGATTTCCCTGATTTATTTTTATAAATATTTTATAGAATAACTTTGTGATTAATTTAAAATAGGTTGAAGTTCAGTTTTTTAATCAGTCCCTCACCGAAGTTGTATATAGTAAATGTAATATTAGTTTATATCAAACATGATTAAGTAAATATTTTTCGTTGAATCTTAACTGCTTATAAACTTTCGTAACACTCAGTTACACCAACGCAGCCTTTTTCCATTTTCACAACCTTTCACCAATCGATAAGCAAATCCCAAATCCTAAGCTTTTCTTGCGCTAACATCAACATTTTCACGGTTGCCTCTGCGAAAAGCTGAATTTTCCTGCACAGTGTGCTTTTGTGGCTGATTCCTTAAACTCGTTCGCGTTGCTAATGGTCGCGTGTGAAAAATACAATAAAATAAAACACTGAAAAGCCAGGAAAATCAAACAAATTAAGCCCATAACTCGGAAATTGTAAAGTGCAAAGTTGATAAACGAACAGTGGGAATAAAAACTGATAAGAGGGATATAATAGGAAGCTGCTTTCACTTTCTTCGCAGTGAGCCTTTAGAAATTTTTCACCCACTCACATGTGTTGGTGCAGTGGTGAGCTAGTGTGTGTTTAGGCTATTACATATGCGTGGGTAGGTCAATCGGTCAGCTTCTCAACCTCTCAACGGCCAAAAACCCATAGCCAAAAACCTGTAATACTTAGTCTAATTAATATGCCAGCCAGGCACAAATGTATCCATACAGCATTTCCCAGGCGGGCCATCAAAACGGCCATGAGCAAATTAGTTTTTACTGCCAAAAGCGCGCTCTTGACCCCATTTCCGTCAATAGGTGTTTGGGATATTTCCCCGAAAGCCCAGATAAACGGCTAATTATATGTAAAATATACAACATTTTTCGGGGAAATCTTCTTTGAATTCTCAGTATCCCACCCAAATTAGGCAACAAAATAGAACACAAAAAAGTAATTTTAAGGTTTTTTTTGGTAATCTAATGAAAGTTGTATTTTGTTTGCTGCAAAGGCCAAAAGCTCGGCTGCAGAAGGAGCTTGGCAGTGAGAGAGAATAAGAGAAAGTCGCTTTCTCTCAGTCAAAGTTGATTGCCCATTTGACAGTTGGGTCACAAAAAAGTCGTTGCGACAACAAAGGAGAATGTAAACATTGCGCGTGTTTTTGTTTTGATGCTCTCTCCCTCTGACCCACCCACATAAGTGGGTTAAATATATAAAGGTATCTGGGTAAGCCCAGGAATTGCCGATAAGTTATCACTGACGCTGGAAATTCGTTGGCCGCTGTTCACTCAAATGGAATTAACCAAAATCCAATAAAGTACTTTGATAGCAGGAGTTTACCCAAAATATACTCTAAAAACTAATTGAACATTCATGGGGGAAAATTCTAGAAAGTGAACGGAAGAGCTTTTTAATTGACTTGTTTTACCCTACAAGGCAGTTCTCAAATCTGTACGTAGGATTAACAGAACTTCACAATAATAAGAACATTTATTTTAGATCTACAATCCTCAAACGACTCTCTACAGCAGACTAACAATAAATGCCAAATTTTTACAAACCGCCGCTTTAAACTCGTCCAAAACTAACAACCATCAAAATACAACCAAACTATAAGTCACCACCGTCGATTTTCTACAACTCTGAAAAACAAAACATTAAAAATAAACAAAATATTTTCTAAACATAACTAAAAGCTTTCCCGTATTTAAGTGAGTCTGAAAAAAGTGCGCTTGTCTGTGTATTGCGACTGAGACCAAACACACCTGTTGCTGCGATGCTTTGACCGCATTTAGCTATTTTGCTTTCTGGCGAGCTCTACTCCACAAGGAAAACGCTCTTTCTAGACCGCATCTTAAACGAAAGGCAAATCAATATTGTGCGTCCGAATGAAACTTCAAATATGAATACAGGTACAAGGATATTTAATTAATTAGTATTGGATCAGGATTGTTCAAGTTGTGTCCAATTTAATTAAATATTTGGTTTTACAAATTCAATTTATAAATGGCAACAAGATAAGCCCATAAATTTTAAATCAATTTGTGGAACAGCTTCCATTCTTATTCATTCCATTAAATACTAAATTATTGTAAATCAATATTTTTGAGTTGGGTTGAGTTCTAAGTAATGTAAATATCATCCACAATTTCACAATTTGATTACTAACCTTAATAACTTTAACAACTCCCACCCGCTGTGCTGTCCATTAACACCCCACTGATTGCCCCACAAAAGGAGACCGTAAGGAGCAAGCCTCGTTAACACCGCAACAGCAACAATCGCCGCAGCAACCAGAGCAACAGCAACCAATTACCCGACACGATGCCTTGGATAGTTCTAGTGCTAACAATAAGCTAAATAATAAACATAATAGCGATAAGGATAAGGATATAACTAGCGATAGGAATTGGGAGGCGGGCAGAGATTTATTGCCAGCCAGTGTTGTCATCGTCGATGAATCATGTCCCACGTCCAAAAGTCAGAAACAACCATCAGAATCGAGCGTTGTGCCGCGAAGTGGTGCCACTTCCTCATCGCAACGACGCCGACAATTGCAATTCCAAAGACAAAAGGAGGCCAAACTTTATGACCGCGGAGATGGGGAGCCTTCGACCTCAACCTCGACCTCCGCCACCACAACAGCAACAACAACTGTGATGGGTGGCGGGGAGTTGGTGAACTGTATTGCCTACGATGACAACACTCTGGTAATCGAGAGGAAACCCTCGCCCACCTCCCCGTCCACCTCCCGACTATATCTCAAGTCCGAAACACCCACGCGTGGCAGTCGAAAATATAATCGCAAGTCATCGGCCAAAAGTGATTTGGAAGTGGTCGTTGTTAAGCCGGAACACCATCATCAGCTTCGATCCCCAACGATAACGCTTCCGGTTCCTGCTAACCAACTAACCACCTCAGCATCAGCGGGCACTTCGCCCACGGGAGCGGGATTGGGATCAGGATTGGGAACAGCCTCGGGAACGGTCCTGCAACAAAGGTACATACAACTCCAGCTGGAGCACGAAAAGAAATACATTTTCCATGCAATGCAAGAGTTTGATTACATGGAACAAACTAGGCGTTCTAGGGCATAGTAAGTCGGAATTAGACCCCACAATTAACTATTGTACTCCTATCGTGACTCAATGTTGTTGTCCCTTGTGCTCATCGTCTTACTGTGTGTCTCGTGTGTCTGAAATCGCATGCCAAGTATTTAATATGCCATTTGAAGCCCACATCAGAGTTGACTTGCGTAGCTGACTTGAAACGGCTTTAAATAGGCTCCAAAGCTTATTTGGAAAATCACTTTGATAGGAATTTCAGAATATTATTTTACTGGTTAAGCTTTCTAGAATAATAAAAAACTTACAAAATGTGTTTGCTTGAATGTTGGCACTCACCTTGGAGATTATTTATGACGGCTTTAAATTATCCTGCCAAGTTCAGTCATAATCGAATAAACATTTGTGCCATAAAACGGGAGAAATGTTAGTTTGTTTATTTAAAACATTCCATAAACTATTGTAGATTATCATGTCTTTACAAAATGGAACTCAAAACATCTGTCAGCAAACTGATTCTTCTCTTTTATTCTCATGAAAAAATTCAAGTTTAGGATATGTTTTCTGAGAAAGGAATAAATTTTACCATACATTATAGGTTTTTGAAAAGTTGAAAGTCTTAATGAGTTAGTTTCAGTTGATTTTTAATTTGATGAAAACGATTGACGTACTTTATTAATAGGAACCTTATATCTTACTAAAACTATAGCAACGGAACACTTTAAAATTATAGGATTGATTAAATTTGTAATTTAAAAGCTAAAATTAAGGTAAACTAAGTATATTTGAGTACCCCACCCTGTAGAATAAATGGTTGATGGCAAGTGAAATTCAAATATAAAAATTAAGAAAAACTCTAATTCATCGTTTTTCCCTCCTCATAACAGTTGCAGTGCCCTCGATCCGAGCGAGGAACAGAATCATCCCAGTGGAACCAGGAGGCGACCCACCAGCACTGAACTTGCCCTCAGTAACGTCACCAGTCAGATTGTAAACAACGCCACCTACAAGTTAGACTTCAAACAACGCCGTCACAAAAGCAACAACGGCAGTGGCAGTGAACAAGCGGCGGGAACAGGATCTTTAACAGGATTAGCCACAGGTTCGGTGACAAGTCCTGGTGCTGGACCCTCGAGCTCCAGTGGCAAGCGTCGTAAGTCCAGTTGTACTTCCTGTGGCGGTGGTGGCATAAGTGCCCCTCCCCCAAGACTAACACCCGAGGAGTGTTGGCAACTGCAACCGCAGAACAGTGTCACCAGTGCCGGCAGCACAAATAGTAGTCTAAGCAGCGGCGGCGGACACGACGAGGATAGTAGTTATAGTGCCGTCGGTGGCGATAGTAGCAGCAGTAATAGTTGCAACTGCGACATAACCGGTGATAATAGTACGCTGCATGGTTTTGGAGTCGGCGACGTTAGTAGTTTTATTATCGATTGTGACGACGATATCGAGGGTGACGACGATCTCAACCAGGATCTCAGTTCGCAAACCCTGCGCACAGCGGCTATAGTAGCGGCAGTTGCAGCTGCAGCCAAGGAACAGGCACAGGAGCAATCGCTCGCCGACTGCGATAGCTTCAGCGATCAGCGACAGGATGCCGATGAGGGTGTCCGAATCATCCAGGCTAGTGGCGGCAATAACGACTCACTCGAGGACGTCGGCGAGGTGGATGACAACGCCGACGTTGTTGTGAGAAAGAATTCAAGAAATCGCCCTTCGATCAGCAGGACATGCAGGATCACCGAGGAGGACGACGACGAACAGGAGCTAGACGACGAGGAGCCCGAAGGCACCACCATTGACATTGATGAACAAGAACAGCAACAGCAGGAGCACGAGGACCAAGGAGAATCCGGTGAAGACGAGGAGACGACGACGACGACGTCGACGAGTATTTTGAGGAGGAAGAGGACGACACCCAGGCCTTTTCACCATTCTACTCCAGTTCCGCGGAGTTAATAGATAATTTTGGTGGCGGTGCTGGCAAATTCTTCAACATTATGGACTTTGAACGAGGAGCCTCCGGCGGAGGTGGCTTTTCGCCAAACGGCAATGGCGGTCCCGGTAGCGGGGATGCCTCCCGAGTGGCGAGATACGATTCCGGGGAGGGTGATCTGGGCGGCGGCAACAACATCATGGGTGAGTCCTCAATTCCCAACTTCCTAACTGTTTTTCATCCAATTTTTTTGATTACTTTAAAAATCATTTTTAACCCGCATACAGGCATCGATTCTATGGGCATTGCAAACATTCCGGAAACCATGAACGGCACCACAATTGGACCAAGTGGAGCTGGTGGCCAAAAATCTGGTCCTGGGGCAGCTGCCGCCGGCCAAAAGAGGCCACAGCGACGTGGAAAACCTCAGCCAGATAGACCACAACGAGCACTATTTTGCCTAAGCCTCAAAAATCCTTTGCGAGCCATGTGCATTCGCATAGTGGAGTGGAAGTATCCTTTTCATAAACTCATATCTACAGTCGCGTTAATTAATTTTAAGATACCCATTACTTTAAAGAAAAATTTCTGAAATGGCTTCCCTTAACTCATTAACCCTTCTAGGCCATTTGAGTTCCTTATTTTGTTAACCATATTTGCCAATTGTGTTGCCTTGGCTGTCTACACGCCCTATCCAGGCAGCGATTCGAACGTGACGAATCAAACTTTGGTAAGTCCTGCCCATGTCGGGGATGTTATTGATAATAAATATTTATATTATGGCTAACTAATGAATATGAATTTCTTTCATGTATCTCTTACGTTCATCTCATCCACATCCGATTCACACATCCACATAATCACACAAATACACCAACGATACGATCCTTGAAACAAACTCTGAATCCCCGATCCGAAAATCACACTACGCACTCCAAAATAAAACAAAAACCCAACACTAAAAAACAGGAAAAAGTTGAATATATATTCCTAGTTATATTCACAGCGGAATGTGTTATGAAAATTTTAGCATATGGTTTTGTGTTACATAATGGTGCATATCTAAGAAATGGATGGAATTTATTAGATTTTACAATTGTAGTTATAGGGTAAGCATATAAAATATTCCAGTTAAAAGCGCTTAGCGCCCAGGCCCTCTGCGGCCTCGTTTTAACCATTTTCTATGTTACCTTATATCCAATTCAATCAAAATTGACCAAAAATTAGAAAACCGTAAACGTGAAAACGTAAAAAAAAATAGAAAGAATATTTTTTGAAATGATATCATGCCTAGATTGAGACACGTATGAACTTTGTATGTACGCCGTACATTTTTCCAGAGCGATAAGTACTGCACTCTCCCAACTGATGAAGGACGCCTTCGATGTGAAGGCCCTACGTGCCTTTCGTGTGCTACGTCCACTGCGACTTGTATCGGGTGTACCAAGTAAGAGCTTCCTTGCACCATAGAAAAAATTCTACAAATCACAAAATTGAAATACCCTGGGCTTAGTAAAGCGAAGATCTAGCAACTACGGACTGTTTCGTAGTTTAAATACTGCACAGAGTGAAGAAAATCTATTCATTTTTTAACTATTACTATTGATCTTAATACCTCTTTTCTTACTAACTGCAAGTTTCCTACATTTCCGATTGCCTTATTTTAAAGCTTAAAGAAAAGATATAGACAGATTAAATCAGATACAAAAAAAATGAATCACTTAAATTAGATTATTACTTCTGTGCCGTATTTTCTGCTTAGCTTTGAGTGTTTGCACTAGATAACTACCCGCCAGCCATGCTAATGAGCACCCGAACCAAAAATCCAATCGAATATTGGCAATTCATAATGCTATTCTACAGGTCTACAGGTTGTGCTGAATTCAATTTTAAAGGCCATGGTGCCACTGTTTCACATTGCACTCCTGGTCATATTCGTAATCATAATCTATGCGATCATTGGCCTAGAGCTCTTCTCTGGCAAATTGCACAAGGCGTGTCGCGATGAGATCACAGGTAAGCGGAGATTCTCCCATAATCACCAACGAATCGTACAATATTTATACGTTGTACGAATATCATTCAATTGTCTTGAATGCCACCAGATATGTCGCATTACAAAATCAGAGTCCAAAAAGGTTCTATCACTAGTAGATTAGACTGCCAGGAAATCGTTGGCTACCATATACCAGTTACTCTCAAACTTACACATATAAACCCGCAAGAGCTCTTTAATTAAATGCCACGATTGCCGGCTAATCTGCTAGTAAATAAAACTGTTAAAGGTATCAATTGTATGGGACAAGTAAAATATGCCAAAGATGCGGCATATTCCGCAAAGACACTCCACGACAAGAAACCCCAAATGGCACTCCACAGAACACAACCGTATCTTAGAGATATCACCTCATCCCATTTTCATCTCACTACATCACTAATGCATGAATCCTAAACCAAAACAAATCGGAATGTAGGTGAATTCGAGGAAAATATCCGGCCCTGCGGCGTGGGATATAAGTGTCCGCCGGGCTTTAAGTGCTATGGCGGCTGGGATGGACCAAACGACGGCATCACAAACTTCGACAATTTCGGCTTGGCCATGTTGACGGTGTTCCAATGCGTCACCCTAGAAGGATGGACCGATGTCCTATATAGCGTAAGTAGCACATTTTCCATCTAAAAATGAACAAGGCAAGTAAGTTTATGATTTTGTTAATTAAAAATGAAATGTCAAGTATATAATCGCCAGAGTATTTCGCTGAAAAGGTTTAATTTATGAAAAATACTTAAAATTGTATATTTATCTTTAGATCCAAGATGCAATGGGCAGCGATTGGCAGTGGATGTATTTCATTTCCATGGTCATCCTGGGTGCCTTCTTCGTGATGAACCTGATTCTCGGTGTGTTGTCCGGTGAGTTCTCCAAGGAGCGTAACAAAGCCAAGAATCGCGGTGACTTCCAGAAGCTGCGAGAAAAGCAGCAGATTGAAGAAGATCTGCGGGGCTACCTTGATTGGATAACCCAAGCCGAGGACATCGAACCCGATGCCGTTGGGGGCCTAATATCCGATGGCAAAGGTAAGCAGCCAAATGAAATGGACTCCACCGAGAACCTGGGCGAGGAATTGCCCGAAGTTCAGCTGACTGAATCGCGTTGGCGCAAAATGAAGAAAGACTTTGATCGGGTCAATCGCCGAATGCGTCGAGCCTGCCGCAAGGCTGTAAAGTCCCAGGCATTCTACTGGCTCATCATCGTCCTGGTGTTCCTCAATACTGGCGTCTTGGCCACAGAGCATTATGGACAACTTGATTGGCTGGATCAATTCCAAGGTGAGTGTAAAGAGAGTAGAAGGTTATATTCTTGTTTTCAAATAACATATAATTTTATTTTCATTTTCAGAGTACACTAACATGTTCTTCATCGGTCTCTTCACCTGTGAAATGTTATTGAAGATGTACAGTCTGGGTTTTCAGGGCTACTTTGTTTCATTATTCAATCGCTTTGATTGCTTCGTCGTGATTGGCAGTATAACAGAGACTCTGTTGACCAAAACAGGAATGATGCCTCCATTGGGTGTCTCCGTGTTGCGTTGTGTACGTCTACTGAGAGTCTTCAAAGTGACCAAGTAAGTATTTATTTAGTTTACAGGAGATACTATAGTAATACTTAAAAATCATCAATTTGTTTCAGATACTGGCGATCTCTTTCAAATCTCGTTGCTTCCCTACTTAACTCTATACAATCGATTGCTTCGCTTTTGTTACTGCTCTTCCTATTTATTGTGATATTTGCTCTGTTGGGTATGCAAGTGTTTGGCGGTAAATTTAATTTTGATGGCAAAGAGGAGAAGTATCGAATGAACTTCGACTGCTTTTGGCAAGCCCTTCTCACAGTTTTTCAGGTAAGTTGTTTTTGTCATTTACGTTTTGGAATGGTTGAATAAAATATTTTACTTTTCAGATAATGACTGGTGAGGATTGGAATGCTGTGATGTATGTGGGCATCAATGCTTACGGCGGAGTGTCCTCCTATGGTGCCTTGGCGTGTATTTACTTTATAATTTTGTTTATCTGCGGTAACTATATCCTGCTGAACGTGTTCTTGGCCATCGCTGTAGATAACTTGGCAGATGCCGACTCACTGTCCGAGGTGGAAAAGGAAGAAGAGCCTGTAAATTGGAAATTCATTTAATTTAAGTTCTACTAGATAATATTTCTCATTTTCTTTAGCATGATGATTCAGCTCAGAAGAAGTCGCATAGTCCTACTCCAACAATTGATGGCATGGATGATCATCTAAGCATAGATATTGATATGGAACAACAGGAATTGGATGACGAAGATAAAATGTAGGGGGAGGGAGAGGGGTTTCTGGAAACTAACTTTTAATATTTGTCAATTAAGATTTCATTCTTTTACTTGAAATTAAATTCTGATATTTATTCTCATATTTTTTTAAGGGACCACGAAACCTTATCCGATGAGGAAGTCCGTGAAATGTGCGAGGAGGAAGAAGAAGGTATGTCATGTCGAATTTTATTGACAATCTTTCCGACTAAGCTCAGTGTAAGATATAAACATAAGACTTATATTTAAGTACCTTAGCTTATGCTTAGACTTTTATCAAGACTAACACATATCAAAACCAAATCGAAACTATTTCCTAAAACAATGCCGCCGACGCCTACATCAACTGCTGCTATTTTTTGGAAAACCACGCACCCAAAAATAAAACAAAAACCGACAATAAAAATACAAAAAACAAACGAAAACACAAAAACACTTGCAAATATTAATCGAAAGACTCCAATTCCGAAGTATCAGCACGTGTCACTGCACGACCCCGACGATTATCTGAGGTCAGCATGAAGAAGACTAAAAAGCCCATCCCGCGAGGCAGTGCCTTTTTCATTTTCAGTTACACGAACAGGTAATTCAATCAAGCAATCAATCAAACGATCCATCATCGATCGACATCCTAAAACACAACACACACTCGCACACTCTTTAATATGGTCCATGTGTCTTGTGATTGGAGTTACGTTTTTTACATTGGTTTAGCCGTTTGTTCTTCGCATGTGACAAACAACCGATTATCGATTACAATTCCTTATCGAGCTGTATCTAATGCGTATTGCGAATGTATATAATTACTATAATCCCTTTTTGTTTCCACAAAACACAATACGACACTGAATATATATTTTGATTTATTTAGTTTTCATTGGTTTTTGCATTTTGCTGTTAAGGGTGGCCAACCTTAATTAAGAATAAATTAAGATTTTTATTACCTTCCTTTTAGTAAAGGTATGATCATAAGTTTAGCTAAAAAAACAAACATTTTTTGTAAGAACCTTAGTTTATTTTTAAGATATTTGTAGTTTAATTGTATAAATGGTTTTTGGACAAATTCTTATAAATGTGTTTATTATTTTTTCCAAATTGGCAACTTACATATATATACGTAATATATGATTAAATTTGTATTGCATATAGTGGATGAAGAAGGCATGATTACAGCACGACCCCGACGTATGTCTGAGGTTAATACGGCAACGAAAATTCTACCCATACCGCCGGGCACATCATTTTTTCTTTTCTCACAAACGAACAGGTTTTTATGTTTGAGTTTTATTTTTCCCCCCGAGTATCGAAAGTCTCCGAAAATACTATATATTTTGCATATGTGTGTGCAATGCGTCGTGTGTGTGTGTGTAAATTATGTTTTTTTTTTCGAAAAAACATAATTTTAATAATCATGTATCCGTCCTTTTGTTTAACCTTGTTTTGTATATTGTGATAAGTCAACAAAATCCCGAATTTATTTTTAGTTGGATTAGATGATAGAAATTTATTTTGGTAGACCAAATTTATTTAGATGCCTAGCTGCTTTTTATACCATTATTTTGTTTTTAACTTTTCTTGTGAAAAATCTAATTGCATGCAAATTTCTGTAAATTTGTTTTATGTTTTTATTATTTGTGGTAGGGTAAAGTCTTAGTTCACTTTTATTAATGGTTTGTGTAAATGTATCTCAACAGATTCCGTGTGTTCTGCCATTGGCTTTGCAATCACAGCAATTTCGGCAACATTATCCTGTGTTGCATTATGTTTTCGTCGGCTATGTTGGCAGCAGAGAATCCTCTGAGAGCCAACGATGATCTGAATAAAGTAAGTAGCTCCTGATCCGAACCGAAACAAAAAAATAAAAATATAAAAAACAACGTGAAATGATTTTAAGAACTTGTAAGTTACGATTGAAGCTGGCAACAAGCTGGCTGATATCCCTCGATGTTCTTTTTTACTAGAAACACCTTTCGTTCGATGTCCTTCACCACTGTTCATTTGTTTTTCCAGGTGCTCAATAAATTTGATTATTTTTTCACGGCAGTTTTCACAATAGAACTGATTCTGAAATTGATTTCATACGGTTTCGTATTACACGACGGAGCCTTTTGCAGATCCGCATTTAATCTATTAGATTTACTTGTGGTCTGCGTGTCATTGATTTCTCTAGTGTCCAGGTAAACGATAATCCATATAGCTACTCTAACCCAGTAGTTGTGATACTAATTACTTCTGGAACATAAACAATAACGTCGATTTCAACTGCAGTTCGAATGCGATTTCAGTCGTGAAAATTCTACGTGTGCTCCGTGTTTTAAGGCCACTCAGAGCCATTAATCGTGCCAAGGGTCTCAAGGTAAGAACTCAACCAAAATCCTTTCTATTTCGCTATTTATTTTTCTGACACACAAATAAATGCTTCTATTAAAAATGGTTATAAATTTTCTTTGAGTTTTAGTTTTATTTTTATTTTGAATTTTATTTATTAATGAAAAGCACACAATCAATTATTATTTTTTTTTTAACTAACAAGCAATTTAAAAATTTTGATAATCAATAACCTCGAAGAAGTAGTCTTGGGCCTTTGATTAACTTTAGCGTAAGCCAAACCAAAAACCTTGAAATGCTGGGTGTAGGGTGCACCACAATAAAATTATACTACAACCAAAAAAAAAGCAACAAAAAGTATCTTTATGAACTATACACAGCTGAAAAAAACAAACTGTTCTTTAATTTTGAGCTTTACTCGTAACACCCTTACGAAAATGGGCGTGGAATAGAAATGTATGGGCGTGGCTTGGGCATAGTGATATCTATGTAATAACCCCTGAATACTAAACACATGACCAGCAAACTGTTCGCGCGCAACAAATGGAAGTCAGAAACCAAACATGCCATATTTATGATTAGTTTTATATATTAAATAGATTATTACTATAACTATATATCGTCGTATCACATACAGCATGTTGTTCAATGTGTCATAGTCGCAGTTAAGACTATCGGAAATATTGTGCTCGTCACATGCCTACTGCAGTTCATGTTTGCCGTTATAGGAGTCCAATTGTTTAAGGTATGATTTTATTTTTAAGTTCCCACTTAATCTATCTCCGTTTGCATTAAGTCCAAAAATGTAGGATACATTGTATTTAAATTATAAAAACTTATAGTGAGGGTTTTAATTATTTAGCTGAAAACGAACTGTACAAAGCCTAGAGTAAAAAATCTAATTATTTGGGATAACTACCAACGCATGGAACCTTAAATTTAAAAAGATAAAAAGAAATCTTTATAGAAGAATTATTAATTCATTTAGATAGTCGATGCCATACATACTATATTTTTTAAACATATTTTGTTATTCTACATTACGGGTGTACACATATGCAACTTCCAAAAACGTTTCTAACATATTGTTGTTGTTTAAACGATTTCCCTTGTTTCAGTTTGCATATACTAATATTGTTTAATAGCTTTTCTTATTTGTTATGATTTAAAAATATGTTTACTAATATTTTTGTACCATAATTGGATTTATGTTTAACTTGAATCAATAAAATTCAAACGTCTAGGAAATGTATATAATACCAACTCTTGCTGGCTAGTATTGCTTATTAACGCTCAGCATAATATAATATATTTAAGGAGAAATCGGTGTCAAAGATATATCAGGAAGAAATAAAATATCAAATAAAAGATTTTACACTGCGGGATGAATAGTTTAAGAATACCTAACCTTTGAGTTTCGAGATTACACCGATCCTAACACTACTCACACGACTTAAAACACATTATACATATATTGTAATATCAACTCTTATATATTCCACACCCATTTTCTGCGTTTGTACACGTCTAAATGCAACAAATTCACAATAGATATCGATAAGCGATCATAAGCACACTGACACATAAAGTATATAGGCTATATCCAATAGCTCACACATCAGCACATGAACTTTTAGGTTTTATCCTTTAGCAATAAATCAGCAACCTACCTTGCACCCTAGCATCAAGGCCAATCTGTCCTTTAGATCTAAATCTCCCAGGTGTAAAGAACCCAAAAATTGCGGACCATCAAGTAACAACAAATCGCAGTGTTTAAAGAGAAAAAACATTATGAGTCCACAGTATAATCACATATATTAAGAGATCAAAATTATATATATTTAATGCTATCTAATTTTAATTGAAAACTTTTACTGTGGATTCATAAAAACCTTAATTTGAATGTCGAAATTTTAATTTTATTATTTGTTATCTTTACTTTGATACCATTACCTTTTGATTTTGATTTTACTGTACTTATACTTTCAATATTTATTATTATTCCTGTAATTGTATAAAATATAACGAAAATCCTAATTTTATAATCAAACACAATAATTTCTGACAAAAGGATGTCCCAATATTTTAAACGTATTTTCTTCCCTTTTTCTCTCCTTGAACGTGTTTCGGTTGTTTTGAATTGAATTTTGCAAACGCAACAAAAAATTGTCGTATTATTAATACCGATATATATTGCCAAAACCATTTGATTTCATCATATAAAAATGTGGTCACCAAATACAAAAAATAACCCTATTAATTGATGCTGACAAACCACAAAAAAACATGAATTGAAATTGAAAATATATATTTTTTAATGTCATTCATTCGCCATAAATTCGAACAACCAACCAATTGGCCTACACTGATAAAAACACATTAAACATCTGCAGTATGTGGTCAAGTGCGTTGTAGTCGCAATCAAAACCATTGGTAATATCATGTTGGTGACATATTTGTTACAATTCATGTTCGCTGTTATTGGAGTACAACTCTTTAAGGTAATTTCTTTTGAATTATATATGAAAAGTCATTGGTGAAGGGTATCTTCAGACGGCTTTAAGTGTGCGCTTCTATTTTTTGAAAGGAACAAATATAAATAAATTGAAAATGCCGCTTAATATGTGTGTGCTTTGAATTTTGTAGTTTCTTTTTATCTTGATATTTGTGTGTAGGGTAATTTTTTCAATGGAAGGTAACTATTATCGATGTTATATCTTTAAATTTGACCAAAAAGTAAGTCTTTTTCTAAAGCAAAGTCTGGGTCGCGATTCTTTGACCTTTCTTTAACAGAAAAAAATCGCTTTGCAATAGCTTGGTAAACCAAAAAAAAAAATGTTCTCAAGTTCTTACCATCCAGCTTAGTTAAATTTTTCCAGCTTTTCTAAAACTAACCTCCAAGGCAAAGTTAGCTCGCTCCCAATGTAATATATCTCTATATTTTCCCATGTACGTAACTCTGTTTTCAACCCAATAACATTTTTGGTGTCCTGTCTGTAAATATTGCTCTGTCCAAAATAAACAAAACTAAAACCGTTGTTGTCCATCCAGCAATTTCGAGCAGTGTTTGTAAATGTGTTTGCATATGAAACACCCTGTAAATGTGTGCATACATTTAAGCAAATATGTAGTACTAGATAGTCTATCGTATTCTGTTCCAAGCTATTTTTGAACTAGGTATTAGTTAATAGTCCGTACAGTAAAGCAGTTTTAATCATTGTGACCCTTTGGGAAAGCAAACTCGAGTAAAGATTACTGAACTATGAGATTGCTCTCCATAACATTTCAACTTTACCATTGTATACACTAATTCTTGTAATATTTTCTCATCCTCGGCCGACCCATCACATTTTCCAAACCCACCAAAACAGGGTAAATTTTTCAGGTGCACTGATGGTTCCAAAATGTCGCAAGATGAATGCTAGTAAGTGATTTTCCGGTAGCTAAAGGACTTAGTTTAAATTAAGTAATTAAATTTTAGCGGAACTTATCTAGTCTATGATGATGGTGATGTCCATAAGCCGCGACTCAAGGAAAGGGAATGGAGTAACAATCGATTCCATTTCGACGACGTGGCCAAGGGCATGTTGACATTGTTCACAGTATCCACCTTTGAGGGTTGGCCGGGGTAAGTTTATACTCAGACTTTCATCATCAATTCACTTCCTAACATATTTTTTAATTCCAGGTTGCTTTACGTTTCAATTGATTCGAATAATGAAAATCGCGGTCCAATACACAACTTCCGTCCGATCGTAGCTGCCTACTATATAATCTATATTATTATTATTGCCTTCTTCATGGTGAACATATTCGTCGGTTTCGTTATTGTCACTTTCCAAAATGAAGGTGAACAGGAATATAAGAATTGTGATCTGGATAAGAATCAGCGTAACTGCATAGAGTTCGCCCTAAAAGCGAAGCCCGTTAGACGCTATATACCGAAGCATGGTATACAATATAAAGTCTGGTGGTTCGTCACCTCGTCATCCTTTGAGTATACCATATTCATACTGATCATGATAAACACTGTAACGCTGGCCATGAAGTTCTATAACCAGCCGTTGTGGTATACAGAACTTTTAGATGCCTTGAATATGATATTTACGGCGGTTTTTGCCCTGGAATTTGTATTTAAATTAGCCGCTTTTCGATTTAAGGTAAAAGGAGCTCTGAATTATAATGTAAAAGTCAATATTACCTATATTACCTTTAATTTTCTAGAACTACTTTGGAGATGCCTGGAACGTTTTCGATTTTATTATTGTGTTAGGCAGTTTCATTGATATTGTCTACTCGGAAATCAAGGTTTGTTAATGTGATACCTAACTAACTAATCAAACTAATAATTTAATATATTTGCAGAGCAAAAACACTTCACAGACGGCAGAATGTGACATTGTAGAGGGTTGTAAATCTGCTAAGAAATCTGTGAGTTTTTAGTTTTCCTTCTATATGAGGGTAGCCTCTAATTGTACCAATTCTTTTGCAGGCTGGATCAAATTTGATATCCATCAATTTCTTCCGTCTTTTTCGTGTGATGCGACTTGTGAAGCTTCTCAGTAAAGGCGAAGGCATTCGGACATTACTTTGGACTTTTATAAAGTCTTTTCAGGCCTTGCCTTATGTAGCCCTTTTAATTGTACTTTTATTCTTTATATATGCTGTGGTTGGAATGCAAGTAAGTCCTTGCAAAAAAACATTCTTAATAAGTATACCTAATAAGTTTCAATTTTCAAGGTTTTTGGCAAAATTGCACTAGATGGCGGTAACGCAATAACGGAAAACAACAACTTCCAGACCTTCCAGCAGGCAGTTCTCGTACTTTTCCGATCTGCCACCGGAGAAGCTTGGCAGGAAATCATGATGTCCTGCTCAGCACAACCGGATGTGAAATGCGATATGAATTCAGATACGCCGGGAGAGCCTTGCGGTTCCTCTATAGCCTATCCCTACTTCATTTCCTTTTACGTTCTCTGCTCATTTTTGGTAAGAAGCATAGTTATGAAAGATTTTTATTCATACTATATTACTCATTCTTTCAGATTATTAATCTTTTCGTCGCTGTCATTATGGACAACTTTGACTACTTGACGCGCGATTGGTCCATCTTGGGACCACATCACTTGGATGAATTTATTCGGCTTTGGAGCGAATACGACCCGGATGCCAAGGGACGGATCAAACATTTGGATGTGGTCACATTGCTGAGAAAGATATCTCCGCCCCTCGGTTTCGGCAAGCTGTGTCCCCATCGAATGGCCTGCAAGCGACTGGTCTCCATGAACATGCCACTCAATTCCGATGGAACTGTTCTGTTTAATGCCACATTATTTGCAGTGGTTCGCACCTCGCTGAGCATCAAAACTGAGGGTAACATCGATGATGCCAACTCCGAGCTGCGAGCCACTATCAAGCAGATCTGGAAGCGGACCAATCCAAAACTCTTGGATCAGGTTGTTCCACCTCCCGGCAACGATGACGAGGTGACCGTTGGCAAGTTCTATGCCACGTATCTCATTCAGGACTATTTCCGACGTTTTAAGAAGCGTAAGGAACAGGAGGGCAAAGAGGGCCACCCGGACAGCAATACGGTTACTTTGCAGGCAGGTCTTCGAACTCTGCACGAAGTTTCCCCGGCTCTGAAGAGAGCCATCTCCGGTAATCTTGACGAGCTGGATCAGGAACCAGAGCCTATGCATCGAGTAAGTTTCTTTATATAATATTTTTTATAATATAAGCCCAATTATTGTTTATATTTAATTAATGTAAACTTATGCAATATTTTTCAGCGCCACCATACACTTTTTGGAAGTGTGTGGTCATCAATCCGCCGGCATGGAAACGGAACCTTCCGGCGGAGTGCCAAGGCGACAGCCTCGCAGAGCAATGGGGCTTTAGCGATCGGCGGATCAGCTTCAGCTGCCTTAGGCGTTGGCGGTAGTACGCTGGTCCTGGGAAGCGGCGATCCCTCTGGTGGGGACTATCTGTACGATACCTTGAATCGCAGTGTGGCCGATGGGGTGAACAATATAACTCGGAACATAATGCAGGCCCGATTGGCGGCAGCCGGGAAGCTGCAGGATGAACTGCACGCCAGTGGAAGTGGCGGGGAGCTAAGGACATTCGGCGAGAGCATTTCCATGCGACCGCTGGCCAAAAACGGCGGCGGAGCGGCCACTGTGGCCGGAACGCTGCCGCCCGAGGCCAATGCCATTAACTATGAGTGAGTATGCGGGGGCTATCAGATTCTGGTGAAGGTGGCGCAGCGGTCAGTAGGCCAATATTTGGAGTTTTCACCTAGCAAAAAAAAATCAATTAAAAACCAAAAAAAAAAAAGATATAAACACACAAAGCTCTATTACCATAATACTTGTTACTATGGCTTGCTGTTTAGTGAGTTGATCCATATTTCAATATTGCCAACAATTATCGTTTTCTGTTTTGTGGCATTTTGTTTGGTCACCTAGTGAAGAGCGCCCTAAAGTTTGTAATGGACAAAAGGAGCCGAGCCAAGCTCAACAAGTGACTTGGCACCACCAAAACAAATACGAGTTTTAAATTAGTTGACTTAGCAAACGTAGTTGCAATCACAAACTACCTTTAAAATGCATACTTGTTGCCACATAAACTAGTGGATTTAAAACCAAATGATACAAAAAAGACCAAACTTATTGGGAAAAAAGCAAAACATAAACCAAACTTTTACTCAATCCCCGAACATTAATTTCAGCAACCGCAATCGTGGTATTTTATTGCATCCATATAACAATGGTAAGCCTAAAATGCTGCAAATTGCAATAATAAAATTAAAACAAATAAAAACGTAACAAACAACTACAGCAGTAATTGCAACAGCAACAGCAACAGCAACAACAAAATGCACTACAATTTATTAACATTATTTAATGTGTTTTATATTTTATTCCTTTTTAACCGGACAAAATTCTAAAATAATTCCGATCAAATTGGTTCGTTTGTTGTTTTCATACACTCAAAATTTGACCCAAACTAAAACGCAAAAAAATTCCATTATATAACACCAATCTAATTGTTTACCAATTGATTTGTTTTGTTTTATCTACGATTATTATGTAGCTGCTGCATTCCTATTAAACATATTGCAACATAAAATTATGTACAGATTCTCGCCCACTGCGTTCAAAGATTATTTATTGCCTGCGGCATGTAAAAACGTTGACTATACCGACTATATCCAAGTCAAATGCAAAATCATTAACTAATCAGATGAGGCGGCCAAATGTTTTTTGTTCTTATTGTGTTTTCCTGGCTGTTTATTAATCGGGACCAAATTTAAATAACTGAATCGAATAAAAAATTGTAATTATGTTTCACAACATCGTAGTACACATCATTTAGATCTTATTTCTGAAATAAACATAAAATAGACTAGTTATTGTAGATCAAACTCGTAGTTTAGTAACATTTGAGTGCAGCTTTGTTATACAGCTAAAAATTAGAAACGCTTTCGCTGCATTATAGTTCAAATCAAGCCAAACACACAAAAACATATTTCGATACATAAAGCATATATATATTTGGGAATTATTGAATTTCAGAACAGCAAGTCCCCAGGTAAAGTCGCATATTATATTTTGAACGGGAAATATATCAGACTGATAATTTTAAAAATTCTGGATTTTTCCTTTTCTAACTAATTAGGGAGTAACTATAATTTGATCTTAAAATATAAAAGACTCATTTTTATACCTTATTTTTTATAAGAGCGCGTTTCTCTTTATTCTTTAATTTAGAAAGTCCAAAAATTCGATATATAAATTGGCTGATCTATCTAAAATACTATCGATACCAAACTCTTCTCCCCAACTTCTTTCTAATAACTATCGTGCTAACCACACTTAAACCTGACATAAAACCACTTCAAAATATAGATCTCCCCTTATAACTAAACTAAATACCATTAACCTAAGCGTCTGTGGCTCCTTTTGTTAATTACAAACTAATCAACGGATAAAACCCATCCAAAATCATCAACCTTGAAGAAGAAAAAATTCGCCAAAATAAAAGATTATTTAAAAAATCAGTCAATTGTATCTGTATCTGTTAAAGTAATTTGTTTTTATTACTCTTTCTTACAAAAATTTTATTATAGCATAAGTGATTCGAGTTTAAAAACCACCGAGTGCTGAATTTCGAAACCTCAGAAAATTCTTCAGTGTCCAAAAAAAGAGTCTCCAAAGAGTTCGAATCACAAGACTGGTTTCCCTTTCCATATGGGCATCATTCCCAAACTTTTATTTTCGTTACATTTTCTGTTTCTGTTAAGTTTGAAATTTGCAAAAAGAAAAAAAAGAACCATTCCGGTGTCGGTAAAGATTATGCTATTCCATGTATCCGATATGAGAGTTCCCTGATTACAATGTGGATTCAATGACATAACACCTACAACAAGAACAACAAACTACAACAAGTACCAGAAACAACTTTAACAACAACAATCGTTTAACACGCAACAACAGCAACAAGAGAGAACGAACGTAATTAAAAGCAAAACCCAAAGCAAGCCCGATATCGATGTCTATATTTATTCCTTATATATATAAAATTTCTTATATATATAATTATAAAAAGCCGTGATGTTGTGCCCATCTACTCATAAGCCTTGGCCTTGGCTCTATTAAGCCATATATCCCTTACAAATATGTGTGCCTTGCGACCATATAAACCACATCTTATACATTTAATACTAACCCAAATATCAAATACTCAATCGTTATATCCAAGCTGAGAATCTGAACGTTGTCGTCGTTGTTATTGTTCAAAATATATACGTATATGTTTTCCTATGCTATGCCCAAAAGAAAAACCAAAAAATGTCAGCCAGAAAACCAAAATATTCAAAAATTCACTATTGTCTTTCAGTGTTGTATTGTCGTCGCTTCCTCTTTTATTTTGTGTGGGAATTATTGTCACCTGGATTGGGCCTTCGGGTTTTCACATCCACCTCACATACTTCAACACACTGTGAATACAAACACACACCTCCGAATAAAAAAAATATAATATACATAAATAGATGCTTAGATGAGCCGCCTGCCTTGTTCATAGAACGCCTAGCATTAAGATCCTTATAATTGTTGCCTAGCATTGCTGGAGAATATTGAGCTTTGCCCTATTTATTTCAATAACTGCTTGCTTATTTTCGACAAAACTTATCATTTTGGTTGTGCTTATAATACTCACATTTGTTTTAATAAATATAACCCCAGGTTGTATCGATGTTTGGAAATCGTGTTTAATAAGCTTGTAATATCGAATGCTTGACTAACCATTAACTGTAATCATATTTTATAAATCAAATAAATAAGCTTGATGATCCTTATTAAGCAGGGAATAGTTTGATAGGTGATACATAAATATTTATTTCTTAATTTCTACAAGAATACATCCAAAGTTCTTTTTTGAAATACAATTTAAGCCTACCCTTAAACTTATACTTTTTGTAATTTTGAGATCTAGAATCTTCTTCTAAAGTTTAAATTTATTTTCTTATAATTGAAAATTGTTTTATTTAACAGTGTAAAATAATAATATAATTTTTGTAGACCTACAGTGGCAATAGATACAATGTTTTATAATTTCGTAAATTAGCTTTTGGATCATCAAGCTCTAATAAAATGCATATACAAATTATGCGTACATCATTACCTAATTATACGAAATTTTGTATTAAAATCTTTCAACTTATCTTATTTTATGCGAACATGCAGTCTACGCGCCCAATGGTGCTATTCCTGGCCACGAACGCATGATCCAATCGACACCAGCTAGTCCTTACGATCAGCGTCGTTTACCAACTTCATCTGATATGAACGGCCTAGCCGAGTCATTGATTGGAGGGGTAAGTAAAACCTTATTTAATAAAATTAAAAAACGCGAAAAACGCGAAATTTGGCCCACCCAAATTTTACGCCCTGAAAATCACTATTTTTTCTATGGAAAAATGTGATCGGAATATGGAATGTTGCATCTCGTTGAGAACAAAAATAAAGGATGAAAATATGAAATTTGGTTTCTTACCCGAGGTAATATTTATTAATCTCCAATTTCAGGTACTCGCCGCTGAGGGATTGGGTAAATACTGTGACTCCGAATTCGTAGGTACTGCTGCCCGGGAGATGCGTGAGGCGTTGGACATGACGCCGGAAGAAATGAATCTGGCCGCCCACCAGATCCTCTCAAACGAGCACTCGCTAAGCCTGATTGGGAGTAGCAATGGTAGCATCTTTGGAGGTTCTGCCAGTGGCCTTGGAGGCGCAGGATCTGGGGGTGTTAGTGGGTTGGGCGGTAGCAGTAGCATTCGCAACGCCTTCGGTGGAAGCGGAAGTGGTCCGTCCTCACTGTCGCCGCAGCATCAGCCATATTCGGGCACTCTGAATTCACCACCGATTCCGGATAATCGTCTGAGACGTGTTGCCACAGTCACGACCACAAACAATAACAATAAGTCCCAACTTAGCCAAAACAATTCGAGTAGCTTAAATAGTAGAGCCAATGCCAATAGCCAAATGAACATGTCACCAACTGCACAACAAATGCAGCAACAATCGCCCCAAAGAGGTCAGGGCAATCCGGCCTTCTCCTCATAGCACCCACATTGTAAGCTATACATACAGAATGTCTTCTTGATGGAATTTTAAGTGTACATCTAGCGGGAAATTTATCTATAATTTTTAGCGAACAAAAAACACTTTAGTCTTAGCATCGGGAATTGTTATTATATTTGAATTGTTCACAAGCAAGAACCAAACATAAAGAAACAAAAAACAAAAAAAAAACTTGTATAACTTGTATAAAGAAAAACCGCTAATTGTAAATGTATAAAATGAATAATGTTTTTGCCTTTTTGAGAAATCTATCGTTGGCCTTCGTCCTCTAACGAGCCACAAAACCAAAAACCAAACAAACTAAACTGAACAATTTAAGGAAAAAGTGTATATTTTTGGAAAAGATAGAAAAACCAACCTAAAACTAATAAAGTTTACCTTGTAATTAGAGATAAAGATCAAAACCAAAAACAAATAATGAAAAACACACCAATACAATTGATTAGGTAATAATCACCAAAACTTAAAACAATTACTTATACATTAACATTGAGCGACACAGTGTAATTACCTATTTCGATTTAGACGCATTTTATTTTTTAAGTATTTAAAATATAAACAATTTATGATAAACTGAATTGTTTACAATATATGCAACAGACATATATGTATAAAATTTATAAATGTAATAGCATAATTTCAAACTGAATGAGAGACCGAAGCCCTTGAAAAACTTAATGTAAACTGAATTTTAATTGTTATGATTGAATTTTTACAATAAAAAACCAGAAAAATGTGACCAAATTAATGTGTGTCTTTTTTACAGCATTGATTTTAGCATTTTATAATATTATTTGATATAAGAGGGGCATTATGAAGTTGGCATCTCGTTGGGAACGCGTCATCGAACAAAATGGCGCATATTTGACTTGAATCGCATTATTGTAACCAATATTATACCGCAAGACTTTTTTGACAACGTGATATTATGATTTTGAAATAAACAGAAAATATTTTTTTATAGATGCAATATTTACACTAAAAGTCGTTTAATATCTCTTTATGTGCATTTCGGTGCAAATGACACTCCCATTTTATTAAAAAATCTTATCTTATCCCTTTTGATTTTTTTGATTTTTCTACTAAAAATAATGAATATTTGCATTAAATACCAAATATACACAGGAAATCATTAAAGTTTCATCTTTGCTGTTGCAATTGACAAACTACTAAAGCGATTCCTTTGCGACTTTCAATAAAACACCAGCAATCAAATGTTTGACCAAAGTGGTTGACATACAAAAGGAAAAACGAGAGAGAGGAAAAACATAAGTTTAATTAAAAAAGTGCAAATTGATTTCTCTTGAATTTTTTAATCGATTTCCAAGCAAAAATAATTTATTTTTGTAGAAATATGTATGGAGATATATTTGTTTTTCACCTAAATGGGTAACACCAGATTTAAATATATATTTGGATGTGCTAGTTACTTGAAAGTGACCTTTCGGCTTTTCTTTTTTGTTTCCTGGGGTCCCGAGAGCGCGCACGTGTTAATCTGCCACACAAAGGATTTAGAGTGCCTCCCCCACATGGAGCAATAAAAAATAAACAAATAAAGCGAGCAGCGGCAGCAGCAGTAGAAAGGAGCTAACATTTCGCCATCGATTTTCTGTCTAGTGCATTTTCTTAACAACACTTGCCCTGGACCCATTTTTTTCGCTTTTCCCGCCCTCTCCATGGACTCCATGGTTGGCTTCTGCACGTTGCAATTTGGCGCTGCTCTTCGGTTTGCCAATGCCATTGTTTGACTTGGGCTAATACGAGTATGACTGAGCCTCAGCTGCAATCGAAGGAGGAAAAAGCACAGAAAAGAAACTGGTGGGATGGTCAAGAGTGGGTGGAATCCAACTGAGATTTCCAAAGACTGGACAGGCCAGCACTGGACAGGACAGGGCACGCCATGCTGTGGCCCACGTCCCACGGTCGAGGATAACGTAAGAAAATGTTCTTAAATTAAATATTTGCCTGGTCCAAATCGGGCACAGAAGCCGGCTCTCTCGGCATTGGTGGGTTAAGAGAATATGCAACTAATCATCATGACATCCACAATGCCCCTCCATAAATATTTCACATGCTCTCTGGCGATTTCCGTGCAAACATCTCGCAAATGCATTGTCACTGTATGTGCGGAAATCTTTTATCACGTAAGTGGTCGCATGCTGAGGACTAGCACTAACTTTAAGCCGAGTTTAGCTCGAGTCTCTACAAAAGTTGGCAGGATGCCAAAAGCAAATGACCCAATGCAATGTCCTACCAGAATCCGGATAAGCTAAACTTAAGTGATTAATCAATTCAAAGAACTAAAACGTGATATGCAGATATTGGGATATAATTTTTGGATTTTAAATTTACAAACTTCTTTTCATGTAATAAATTGCATTAAATATGCAAATTTTGTAAACTACATGCAATTACTTCTATAGTATAGCTTATAATAAAAACTTGATTAGCCTTTTAAATATTTTTCTGTTTTATTTTATAAGCTTGTAAAGAACGGGCTTGTTAAACTAGTCATTTCTGTCGTCCTGTTCTCGTTTTCAAATTAAAATTTTGATATTACATTAACTTATTTTATGCAAATAAGCTAATATTGCCATAATAACAAATACATACCAAATTGCCAGCATAACAAAGACCACTGTCGAAAGAAGTTTATCCGAAGTACAAGTCATAAAGCGTAAAAAGAACTTGCCCCATTCGAATGGCACTCGTTGGAGCAAAGTTCCAATCCAAATGGAGCCATAAAATTCTGCAGACCAAATTGCAGTTGCAGCCGCCAGAAAGTCTGCAAAACATCAGCATAATCCGAGCATCAAATGACTGACAAGGAGCAGCTTAAAGCTACAGGATGCCGATGATCCGCCAGGATATCGCCAGTGGAAGATGTAAGGCCGTTTGCCCATCCGTAATTGTGCCAAAAAGTGGGCGTTAAAGTGGGAGTTCGTCCCGACTACGCATAGTTAGGCGGCCCATTACACAAACTGCACACGGCATTTAGTTTTTGCCGGAGGCCTAATTGGCCTCATTATGGTTACAAGGAATAGCGCTGCTCATTTGCGATTAACCGCACGTAGAACATAACTACAAACAGAGCGTGGGTTAAATCCAAACAAAAACAGAAAGAAAAAAAAGCAGGACTCCCTCCAAGGGGGGGAAATTGTTCTCCAAAATCAACGGTGAGTTATGTACGATATGTATGTACAAGGAGTGTGAGTGGGAAAAATGGCCTCTGGCATTATCTTTTGTACTTTTATCAGTGCAGACAAACCCAAAAGCACACAACCCAAAACGAATCCTTGTGTTTCATTAGAAAACGGCTAATTTGGTTCTGGGGCTGCGGTGCAAATACTTATTTACCCGCCGGATGTTCAGTGAAAAAATCAACCAGAATTTAGTAGGGATGAGGAAGAAAAAAAACACAAAGCAGCCGTAGCACAGAAATATAAATTACTTTCGCCAGAGGGCCGCAAAAAGTGTTGATAAATGTATGAAAATTAGTTAGACGCCGCCAAAGGAATGTCAATTAGAGGAATTTCTGGATAAAGGATAAAGCAAATAGGTATATACGTGTGGCCTTAACTTAAGTGATAAGAAAAGATATTGAAGTTCCTTACCAAGTCTACTTATAGTGGAGAATATATAGATTTATATACTACGAATACTTTTTCTTAAAACATAAAGAAACTTAAATTAATTTTGTCTTCAACAACACAAATTATGTTTTTTAATATCTTACTTAGTTTTAGGTATTACCCACTTTCCAAGAATACATTTTCTCTCTCACAAAATTCCTAATAGGTATTTTGCATTTTATACATAACGCTCTCATAACTTTCACATATTAAAGAATGTAAATTGCGAAGAACTTACCATTTAACATATTAAAACAATAAACCGCCCTGGGATGATATATGCAACAATTTGTGGCATGAGCACACGCTGACATTGTTTATAAGATTAAAACAAAAAACACAGCACAAAAAATACAACAAGAAGCTTGCGAAAGCCACAAAAAATGTGTCTGTCTGGCTGGCTGAAACTTATCTCGCAGCAGGGTAAAGGAGCAAAATGGCCATAGAAATATGTCACAGCAGGCGAAAGTGAAAGACAGCGCCAAAATCCGAGGTGTAATATCCTGCTTGACAGCAGAAACAAAAAATAGAGGGAATATACAAGCAAGTACAGAACAACGGAGTGAAGTTCGCGTTCCATCAGAATGGGGACTTCAAAAAAAAAAGAAAAATGCTTTCAAAATGACGACCCAACGACGGGTGGCAAGCCTCCCAGGATACTTCACAAGAGGCGGCTTAAGCTTATATCTGTGCGTCCTTTATTAAATGTGATACCCTTGCCCATCCTTGCATTTTCGGAAAACCCCCTGCAGCCTCATCTGTTGCCGCCTGAGTAATAATGATATTGGCAAGAAAACATTGTCCCAATTTTTTTCAGCCTTAACAATTGTCGCTGAGACAAAAAAGAGTTATTTTATTAATAAATATGGAATTTTGTTATATAGAATTTTTCATTTTTGTAATCCCTCTTTTATATCTGAGCTTTAGCAACTTTTTAGCAGTTACTCTTAAAACTTCCGAGATCGATGCCATAAAGATTAAAAGCATCTGAGCGGATTGAATATCTGATGGTTGCTTCCAGGGAGAGCAGGCAGTGGAAGCTGCGGAATCGCCAATAATTGTGACTGTCCCAAAGGTTCCAAGTAAACTGCCACTGCATGGGATTATAGCTAATCATCGCCAGCAACATTGGAACTGAATTTGCATTTCCGCTCAAGGACACACGGGAAAATCCCTTTGGTAAACGATTAAAGACAAAGGGATATTCTGTTTTAGATCATACAGTGCGCTTAAAGGAAAATGGTAATACTTAATATACCTGGTTATTAATTTATATTTACCATAAAAGTCTTAAAAATTTTTGTTTGTCCAAGATTTCTACCTTTCTAACTAAACCATAACTCGCTTACAGTGCAAGCAAATGATGTTCAGCTCTTGAATAAAAGCGAAACCTTAAACAAAAATCAATAGTAAGAAAAATGCAAAACGACATTCTATAAATACTTGATCTATCATCATTCTGGGTCCCAGTCTCCACCCACAAAAACCATGTGCCATGCCAGACTGGAAAGAGATGAAAAATAAAACAAAATAAATAATGTAAGCTGTTGACGCCACCGGGGCGACCATTCCGGCTGCAGCATCCTGAAAACTGGGAAACTGAAAACCATGAGGCATAAAGAGAGGCTCTCGGGGGCAAGAACTGCATGGCATCAGAGCCAAGAGTAGCACAAATCGGCTTTAACAGGCCGCCAACTGACTGCTTGACTACTGACTGGGCTCCATCCAGGCCAGGCCAAAACCAGGACATCCTCAACTAGGAGCAGGAGCAGAAGCTGAAGCAGAAGAAGGCACTCAACCAACGACAGAAGCCGGCACAACAATCCATTCATTTCATTCATCTATGTTCTCATGCGAAATGAAAAAGAATGATGCAAAGTTGTAAGCCGGCGGTGGCTGGGCTCGTAACTAAAAAGCCAATACTCACAGGAAAGTTAGTTTTACGGCCATTAGATACCCGGTACTTATACTTACTTCTTGATGACTGTCGTCAATGGAAAATGATGGCATTTTAATATAAGTGTGCATGAAATTTGCATGGAAATTTCTATTCTAAAAAAGAAAAACTCATAAGGTCGTAAAAGGTAAATATATGTTTCTAGTTACTATATG